AATAGTTATTGAATTTTTGACGAATTTTTTGTTAAACTTTTAATTAATAAATTTTTGATTGCCGAATTTTTTGATTGCCAAATTTTTGATTGCCGAATTTTTGATTGTCAATTTTTTGATTGCCGATTTTTTGATTGTTGAATTTTTGATTGCTGAATTTTTGATTGCCACTTTATTGCCGAAATGTAATATGCTGAGTGACAGCAATCGAAAAGAATTCAGCAATATTTTTATTATTAAATTTAATCAAATTTGACAATAATTTAGCTGCCGAATGACATAATTTCGACTAGTATAAGATAGTATCACCTAACCTAAATAGTACAAAAAAATGATTTTATTTATTTTATGATACCGATTATTATCACCTCTGGTCAAGATCTCATCTGATCATAGAATATTCAAAGATTACAAGATACTTTAACCAGTTTTAATATTAAAGCTATCTTATCACAAGATAGGTTCTATCAAACTTCTATAAATAAATTGAAGATTTGTACGATTATAAAATAAGACTAGTGAAACCTAAACATATTAATTAGAAAAAAATCACTATCAAATCAATATCTGTCCAAGATTCCACATGGTCACTCCATAGGTAGGCTGTAATAAATCATATAAAAAGGATTAGATATACTGAAATAGGTATTATAAAAAAATATTTGATAAAATGAAATATAAAAGAGATTCTATATTGCCAACTTATGCTTATAGAAATAAGGATTATGAAAGAATAATATAGATATAGGTAGTAGAGTAGTAGGACTTCTTCCAGCAACAAGCCATGGGAATATACTAGATATTACAATTGGATTTATTTTGAAACTGGTAGGTATGGTTCCCACTACTATAACCTTAATATAAAATTATTATAGAATAGCTCTATAGTTATAAGTTAAAACTATATGTATAATCTCTATCGCCTTCAATAAACTAGGCCTGTTACTCCGAGAATAAAAAAAAATATTAAATCTCTAACCAATTTCTAAATAGAGATATGCCATTACAACATGATTGTGAGCTAATAAATTAAATTAAAATTAATTAATTATTTAATTACATACAGTATATAATGCTTTGATTTATATATATTATTCCAATTATCCATTAACAAGTAATTGGCCTTAACAACCACTTTATATCTTGTTTCGCACCTTACGATTTATAATTATAAGTTTTTGTTTCTTGTTTAATCTAAATAATGTTTCTCTTTTTAGATTTTATTATTAAGCATAACACCCTGCGCGTACAGTACATACTATAATTGTAAACTTATTGTATGTATGAGCATATACCGGTACTTTTCAAGACTTATTAGCATTATTAAATTTCCACGTTTACAGTAATAAATTGGCACGCTATATTTTAGTAGATAAAGGAAAATCTTGTTATTTTTAAAGCCTTTTATCAATCTACGTAAATAAAGTAAATGAAATCAATCGATTGTACTTTGCCGCGTAAATGTGGACACTTTAAAATGGTTCACAATTTTAAATTTGGTTCCAAGATTTTAATTATATACTTTATTATTAGATATCGCCGATTGTAATTTGCAAATTTGTCACACCATAGCCTATTAATAATATCACAAGGTTATACTTCCGAAAAACGCCAAACCAAATCTGCCTGTGTTTACCGAGTTCACGTTTTAAGGTAAATATTATGATCCCGCTTGCAGGCGCTCCCTATCAGGTGCTCATAATGCAGAGGGAAGATTACAAAGCCATCCGGATCTTTATCGTTTGCAATTCCGTGAGGTATAAACCAGATGAGTCACGATAGCGAAAGCCGGGGTGCGGATCTATCAGAGAAACTTTCCACCTGCACAGAATCCTTGACTTTTTTTTTTTTTTTGAAGCTAGTCAACATCAAAGCATGCCTCAAAGAGAAATTTGTGTGGACGTACCCCTGACTTTCATGCATAGCATGAATGCACAATACAGATCGCACATCTCTTATCTCTGTTATCTCGCCACCGAAATAATTTCCATAGAAGGCGAATGAAAAATAAGAATACGGAGGAATATTTGTTAAGCATATCAAGAATTCAATTCATGTGTGCAGAAAAAGGATGATGATAGTATAAAGGAATTCTAAATTGAGTGCTCTAGTGCAAGTTATTTTATCGAAAAAAACAATAGTCGTTCTTAGCGGAAGAAAATCCAATTTAGTTATTTCATCACACTCCGGAGATTCACGTCGACAATTATGGAAATTTTATAATAATGATTTCGCGGTCTTTCGAATACAACCAGCATCAAGGTTTTATATTTATTGAAAAAAAAGAAAGTTCTCAATCAACTTCCAAGAAGGGCAACGGAATCCTTGTTCATCAATAAAAAACAGTGATTTTCATTACATCATGTTAAATAACAAAGAACAATGTTTTCCTGTAACATCCAGGACATTCAGGGTGCGTACGTGTATAAATGGGTTTTATGAGTAGCACGTAACTTGTGATTGTATATGCTATTTTTGTTAGTGCATATCTATATGTATGCGTGTGATAATAGGATCTAAAAATTGCATCAATTCGTCAATATAATGACGAACCCTGAAGTTTTTCGGTCCACTTGCCATTAAAATTGAAGTTAATAAATACACCGTTCAAAAACTTGATTTACGCGTAATACTGGGAATAATTTTTCATACATACTATATAAATTATATGCAGTACATTCTTCTAGCATAAGGCAAAGAAAAAAAAAAAAAAAAAAAAAAAAAAACGCTAACCGTAAAAAATTAAATCTAATAATCTAATCTCTCTTCAAAAATGTATGATACACTGCAAAATGACTTTTTACCCATCGCCCACGCTAATTCTAATCGACATTCCAAATTTTTTGGAGTCATCAAGCACACAAAGTTCTTGCACCCTCAAAGTCACAAGGCATCCAAGGCGCTGGAGTCGAGTAATTTTCAGGAAGCCATTGGATGCCTAACAAAACTCATAAAGGCCTATCCCGACAGTTACTCTGCACGATGCGATCGAGGATTCGCGTTAAAAAAAATAGGGCTCGTGAAGGATGCGATAGAAGATTTTGATGATGCCATTCGTCTTAATCCCACAAAATCGCGTGCCTTTATACTTCGCGGAGAGACTTATTTTAACTGCGAGAAATTCGATCTGGCAAAGGAAGACCTACTTAGAGGTCTACAGATAGGACCCGACCAATCGCCGGATCAGCATCCGTCAATACCAAACGCAAATCGAATCCTGGGTGAGATCATGGTGATCGAGCAAGATTATACTCAGGCACTGCACTATTTCAACAAAGTACTGGTCTCTTCCCCTCACGACACAGGAACGTTAAGAGCGCGTGGCGAGCTGAACAACCGGTTAGGCTATTATTCAGACGCATTGAGGGATTTCGACTCACTCCTGGAAATCGAACCCGAAAACACCGAGGTGTTGGAATTACGGCTGACATCACACGGAAAACTTGGAATGTACGATAAAGCGTTGACGGATCTTGGTCTCGTAATGAGACGCAAAAAGGGTGACCCAATTCTTTTGATGAAACGGGGAAAGATGTTACGTAACCAAAATCGGTATAAGGAGGCATTGTCGAGTTTCGATGAACTCTTGCAGACCAACTTTCCGGATGTTGCCAAGATCCTTAGGAATCGGGGTCGAGTTTATGAAGGTTTATCCCGCTACAAGGATGCGCTCACCGATTACAGTGAAGCGATAAAACTACAAGGTAAAGCGTCAACATATCGAAGGCGAGCTAAAATATATCACATTTTTAAGCAGTACACAGAGACGTTGGATGACTTGAATCGAGCGTTGCAGATGAATCCAGGAGACAGCAACGCCGAGTCATTACGTAATCAAGTTTACACGTTATTGAAAAAGTATTTCTCGTTGCTAGAATTCTTCTGATCATGATGTGCCAGATTTAATTACTGATCCTTCGATCTCATTCACTCGTTAAGGTATGATGATGCTTTGGAGAATCTAAACAACTCGCTAAGTGCGAACCCGATGAATCTAGCCTCCTTGATAAGTCGCGGAGAAGTGTATCGAAAAAAGGAACGCTATCAAGAATCACTGATGGATCTAAACAAGTCCCTAGAAATTCAGCCGAAGAATGTCATGGCCCTGCTCAACCGATCTAAGGTCTACCGACATCTTGAAAATTACGGGAATGCGCTAACCGATTTGGATAGTGCAATTAAACTTGAGCCACAAGATGGACAGTTGCTAAGAAATCGAGGAAAGGTTAATATCATGTTGAATAGGTACGAGGAGGCACTGATAGATTTAGATAGAGCGATTTTCGCCGATCCGAAAGCGTCGACATTCAGGCATCGCGGACGGGCGCGGTTAATGTTGAACGAACATGAGAGGGCGCTCGTCGATTTCGATGAGTCCCTCAAACTTGATCCTCAAAAAGTTGATACATATTCCGATCGTGCAGAGGTTTATATAAATATGGGAAAATTTGATGACGCACTTAATGATCTGAGACACGTGTTGGACTTGGACGCGAATAATCGTCGGGCATTAGATCTCCGAGCGTCGTCGCTTGCAAGCTTGTGCAGGTTTGAAGAGGCATTGGAAGATTTGGATTTGGCCATACAATTAAATCCAAACGACTGTGTCTCACTAATTAAACGTGCGAAGATTTATCAAAAAACAACAAAATATCAGAATTCTCTGAAAGATTGGAATGAGGTGTTGAGAATCTCTCCGAAGAATGTCGAAGCGTTGAAAAACCGATCTCAGGTGTTGTTTAAGCTCTGCAGATACGAAGAGGCTCTCGGGGATCTCGATAATCTCTTGAAGCAGAATCCAGATAATTTCTTTGCACTCTGTGTACGTGCGGAAGTCTACCTAAAGATCGGAAGGCATCAAGATTCACTGAACGATCTGGACAAAACAATGACATTGAGTGGGAACAAATGTTTCGTGCATACGATTCGCGGAGCTGTTTATTATGCGATGGGACGTTCACAGGATTCCATGAGCGATCTCAATAAGGCGCTTCAATACGAAAAATCAAATCTTTTAAATTCGTGGTGCATGTTGAAAGCACTTGTAACTCGATCCAAAATATATAGGGATAAAAAACATTATCAATTGGCGAGGGAAGATCTAAACAAGGTGCTAGAAATGGATCCCTTAAACTTTGAAGCATTGTGCGAGAGAAGCGTGCTTAACAGGGATACACGCAGCAACCTAAATGAAGCTTGGCGGGATTTAGAACTCGGATTGGGGACTCCGGAAGAGGTTTTTTCTACTGAATTTTCGGTAAAAGAACTATTGGTCTTTGAATCTCGATCAATGTAATTTTATAGAACCGAAAAAATCGAATCAAATGTCCAACACTCCACAACCAATACCCTTGTCGGTACATTGTTTTTCTTTATTGTCATGACCTTTGAGTAATAAATCAGACATTCAGGATGATTGTAATCACATGGATTTACGTAATAATATGCAGCACGTGTCTTCCGTGTGATATGTGTTACCTTGTCAAATTATTTATATAGTAGCTGTGCATCAAAAAAAAAAAAAAAAAAAAAATCATCGACCAGTAAAGGGAAATCATGAATATGCATCGATCGAATTCGAATAATAAATTGTTTTCTTCGGATAGGGTAAACTTACTTTCTGGTGGTAGTGCAAACGGTGATATCTCTTCATCCGGAAGAAAAGTAACTCATGACTCTGATACAGCTACCTCCAGCCTTTTCGAACAACAAAATGATATTCGATTGCAAGAATTGAATTCCAAACTTTCGGCTTTGCACAAGGTTTGCTTAGGATCAAAGGTTTTCTGTGGATTATCGAATTCAAACGTTTTCTAAAGGTTTCATGTCTCATGTTCGTCAGTTTGTGAAATAATCCATTTTATTCCCCTAGATCACACTCGACATTCACGATGAAGCCAATGATCAAATGAATTTACTTGATAACACGGTTGTACTACATGTTCCACGTATTCGTCGAATATTCGGGACTAATTTGTGCGACACGGTTCTTATGTTTTCTCTTCTTTCGATGATCTAGAGTGATTCTTTCACCGCGATGGGAGGATCTTTGACAGGCACCGTCACTCGACTCAAACATATGACATCGATGAGGCACAAACAGTACATGTGCTATTTGATCATGTGTATTGTAGGGGTATTCTTCTTATTTTACTACTTTTGGGGTTACTGGAGGAATAGTGTTGATAACGGCGATGGCGAAAGGACTGATGTGTGAACGCATTGCCGAGGAAATTCGGAGCGAGACCATAGAAAACATGATATTACAATAGTCATCTAATTTATAGAATTCTTTCATAATACCCGACATTCTTTCGGGATATAATCTGCACTAATACTATTTAACGCATTACAGTATATGGAACCAACCCTCGACAATTCTTATTAACAGGGTAGGTAGGGTGGGCATGGTATTCGCCATATTTTAATTTACCATATGTCTGTTGGAATTTGAAACGATCGTTTTGAATCGACCGTTCACTGACCCCAATGAGCGAAACAATTAAAGAATCATAATTAATTAACCTCAAAGTAAAATGACCCGTGAATTTATTCGCATGCTCATACTCATTGCCGGTAAGAAATAATTTTTGGCCACTATAAACTATGCCAGCAATATTACTTATCAGCGTATACTTGGCATGCCAAATTGTTTTTTCACACGTCTGCAATTGCCCCTTGTTTCTTCCGAAAATACTGCAAGTCATCTATTTTCGGTTCATCTATAATGATTATGTAATCTTTGTTTTATACCACTGTTATGCTTTTGAGCGATCTTGACAAATTGGGTTAATGGATTTTTTTGCAGTGCACGCGTAATCAGTATTGCATGGTTGATGTTTCTATGGCTTACAGATACACCCTTCCTTTCCCCAATGCAGATTATAATTCCTTTGGCCTCAATGGATCACAAGGAGTCACACGACAAACCCCCTAAGCTTCCACAGACTAAGGGCCAGTTGTTTTGTGTTTTTGTGAGTTATCAATCCCAACCTCGGATTTTTGTGACTCGGAATTTTCATAAATCCTTTAAACCTCGCAACACCTTCCACACCCCAAATGTCATAAATATTATAAAATGGTACAAATTGTGTTTGGTATTCTATGAACCCGTCATTTCCATCCAACACTCTATACGTCACGGGGTGTATCGTACCAAATGGTTTTGGTGGAACTTTGGATTCCCCGGGTTCACCGACTTGTTGAAAATATTCCGGAAACTCCGAAGATCCTTGCGATGTTCCTTCCGTTGGTGCTGAATCAACATTACCATCAAGCTTCTCATACTGTCCATTAATTTTTGATCGACCCTTGCGCAGCTCAAGTTCAAAAACGCATTGCAATCCATCAATCGGTTTTGCATTATTTACATAGAACCTTTGTATTTCACACTTTCCGTCATCTTCCCCATTTCCGTCATTAATCTCCTTTCCGATGAAATGAAGTGTCGATGAAATTTGGGATTCGATATTCATAGATGATTTATCGGAATTTTTCTCGAAAGGATTTTCCGACAGAACGTGTAACAGCACTCTATCCCTCCTCGCTGGAAATCTTCGACTCGGTATTATTCTAAAAAATTTTTGCAGTCTTCCTGTCGCCTTTTCTACTAGCATCCTCCAGACGTGAGTATGCATATCTGATCTCCAGAATGCATTTTTATCTATGGATTTGTATTTTCCTTGTTTTCGGTGGATACACACGTGATTAGAAATATTAAGGGGTTATTATAGGTCACACTTGTTGAAGTATATATCACCTTCTTTTGCAACAGCCTGAATCACTTTCGAACTAGCTTTTAACCATCTCCCTTTACCAGGTCTCCTTGCTCCCTCATCATTAACAAAATCCGGCACGATCCATGTCGAATTTGTCGCCTCATCCTTCGCTTTTATGAATCTCACCAAGAAATCTTTTCCAAGGGTGAAATGCAAAAATAAGTCTTCACGTCATGAGGTATTTGCGACAGTATTGAATCAAGAACTCACCATTTGCAAACCAACGTTCGTGATAAAAGCACTTGCGTATAGGAGATCCAATTATCGCCGCTAGTACAAAAAATATATTCATTAATTTTTTGAAAAAATTTTTTTTTTTAATATTGATTAAATGGTTTCACAACCACCCAAATTCTCACCGTATGGGTTCATGAAGACTTTTTGTTCGAATTCCGATAGATGTTTAAAATCCCAACTCTCCGGCGGTGGCGCTCTTTTTTGCCTAGGGAGCTTATAACTGTATGGGCCTTCTGGATCAAGTAAAATGGATTCTTTCCAAGAATCTTGATGAGTGTTGTGCTGATCTGTATTAAAATTTTGTGGTCCTTATTTAACGGGAACATAAACGTCGTTGGTCGAGAATCTCGACGTAAACAAAGAACATTAACATACGGACAAGAATCATCGTTATTTCGATCGCGTGATTGATGAAAACTTTCGTAGGCTCGACTTATATCTTGGTCAATTACTTTCCCTTGATGATCGTGCTTCTTGGAAACATGGTCATGTTTCAGGCGAGAATATTGACGAAATAAGTCAATACACGGTCGAAGAAACTTGGAACGATTGGAAGAATCCGACGCTCGTTCATGATATTGTCGAATTTGTTTTATCATGAAAGCGGTGGTAAGTGACCGTTTTACGAAAAGGTGATCGATCGAAGTTTTGCGCGCATACATGTTTAATGAAATGTTTTTATTGTCAAAATTAAAAAATTATAAAGAAAAAAAATGTGATAATTTTGATAATCGATAAAACCTTTTTGTATCACCGATGATGATGTATATGTAGTAAATCAAATTAACTGTTAATTATACAAATGCAAAATAAATTACAAGGATGGATCAGATTTTCCCAAAACTCAAGGGCCTGCTAAGATACACCGCCTCTTCGTGTACACTCTCCCTTCCGGTGCCTCCTTTTTCCACCAATATTGACTTTCTAATTTTTTCCGCCTCATCAAATAATTTAGAATCTGTGACATGAGGTCTTCTCCAATTTCCAATCGTCTTCACGATTTCATTGATGTCCGGTCTTTTCGAGGCCGACTGATCCCAACACCTTTCCATCAAATTTGCATAAAACTTCGGTGTGTCCTGGGTGATCTCCGGTCTCTTACCGTCGCAAATTTCTTTAGCCAACTTCTTGTCATGTGGAATTGACTGATATGGCAGTTCGCCGGATGTCAGCTCCCACATTACAATAGCAAAACTGTAAATATCTGATGGCCGCGAACACTCGCCACCTTGTAAGACCTCGGGTGCCATGTAAGGTAGAACCCCGTATCGTTTCTTTTTATATGGTTTTGAAAATTCCGTCGCTGGAATCGAGATGCCCAAGTCTGATATAAGTGCTTCGTGCCTGAACGTTGAAGACATTTTACTGAGTCGCTCCATTCTCTCCTGCGGCGTTATGGTCGGATCATTGGGGTCAAGATCGATCAACACATTTCCGCTGTGGAAATTGTGGTGAACGAAACCGTAGCCATGAATTGTCCTCAAACCTTTTGCTATGTCGAACACCAGGGCAACTTTTCGCCACCAATCCATATTCTCGAAATTTTCGTTGATGTGTTGACGGAGATTATTGCCAGGTGCGTATTGAGTCACCAATACAAAATCTTTCGTCTCTGGATCACGTGATATTCCGTAGAGTTGGGGGATTCTCCCGGAATTCATGCAACGATAATATGTTTGCAACTGTTATTTGTGTATACATGTAAGTAGTTCGAATAATGGCTTTCGCTGAGTAACTCTTCTTTTCCCAAAGATCACCTAATCCGAAGAAGTACAAACCTCATGAACAAAGTCCGCGCCGGCAATACCTTGAGAATCGATCAGATGTTTGAGTGCGACGTATTGAGGCGTAGTTCCGGTGTACTGTTTATCAGGCACTAACAAAATTTTTTGTGCAACCTAAAATGAAAAATGTAACGTTTGAACAACGGGGAAGCTTACGATACATTTTTTTTGCGCCAAACCTTGACCAAAAAATACCTCGTGCTCAACCCTGGTGACAACCCTGTCACACCAATCCGCAAAATCCTTGTCCTTGCTGGACTTTGAATTCCCCCTCATATGTCCAAATTTGGTCGAGACTCTACTGATAAATTTCTTCTTGCTGCCATCCTCACTCATATTTTTTCCCACGCCAATCCCATGCTGCTTGACATCATGTGAAGCCTCCTCATATATAATTCGGTAAATCTCGTTGGCATTTTGTTTCTCCATCTCTCCGACCCACCATTTCAGTGTACCATATAAGATATTCTGATTCCATGTTGCTCGATAAACTACTCGTAGTGGCGGTTGTGGTCCCTCTAATTCACCAGTAGAGTTAGGGGGGGCAAAACAATTCAGCTGGGTTTCGCGGATGAATCCATCCACTTGCTCATTTTCAGAACTCCAATCATGAAAATTTTGTTGAATTATTGGGATTTCGCATACATTGCACCAAGGATTGTATTCATTTGTATATTCCGATTTGCAACGGGTGCATTTACTCGCTGGGGGAATTAAAGGAAGGGATGTTGGAAGGGGACTTGAGGCAGGTAATAGGGATAAGACTCGAGAGAAAAATTGTGAGGTGTAATCCCGTACATCTTGAGGACAGCCTATATGAGGATACTTGGCGTGATATTTGTT